CAGTGTTGGGTGATTCTCAGGCGTCCACTGTAGAGGCTTATATGCAACACTGCCATCAAAACCTATTCTTATCATAGAAAATGACATTTTAATAGCTGTCCGCTGTAGTGACCGTCATGCATGAAAGGGTTAATAATCAAAATATTTAATAAACAAGTGGTAAAAAAATATATCAGTGCCTTCTTTATAAGAACAACCTTCAGTTGTCATATGAAGTATGTATTATAGCTGATAGCTGACATTTAGCATCACATCAAATCAAACATCCTTTTTAAACCAAGAGATATCCTTAAAAAAAATTTAAGAAAGACTTTTAAATCCACTTCAGTTGCAATTGACTGAATATAGTTTTAGGCAAAAAAAAAAAAAAAAAAAAAGAAAACATGCAGTTGTGGAAAACCAGAGGTTAAAGGTGCCAGGTTTGCTATTAATGAACACCAGGGGGAGCTTTAAAAGAGTAGATTCCGTTGTATGGTGTTGATTATAACTTGACAGAAACTCTAATATAATAGCAAATAGCATAATAGTTTTAAAATTAAGCAGAAACAATATTTTTATTTTCCATATATATATATATTTATATATATATGTATATATTTCTTTCCTTATTTCAGGCTCCACCTCACACATTTGACCCTGCGTGTGCCTCCAAGAGCAGATACACTTGATGTCAACAGGGGGCGCTCTGTACAGTGGAGGTCAGGACAGGGAAACCCACCTACAGCTGGACAAACAAAAAAATGTTCCAGGTAGCTCTGTTGTTGCCTGGATTTTATGACCAAAGGAAGCTAAGGTGAGCAGCAGAGAGAGAAGACAAACGTTTTCCCATCACTGTGTTCTTCAGATCAGATGATTCAGTCACAGCACAACTTTACTCTAACATGGACACAAGGGGGAAACGTTTTGTTTTTGTTTTTTTCTTTGCTTTTCAATTCCCCTTTATATCCAATGTGCATTCTGTTCCTAACAATCCTTTTTGGAGGTTTCACAGTGAGATTGATCGGGGGGGCGGTCTGCAGCTGCTGGTTGACGGATTGACAATTACAAGCATTATCCAATAAGAGCGGCTGGTGTGGTCACACTGTGATGTTCTAGTCTGTCACTCTGATCTGGGGATACGGATTAGAGAGCTTGCTTTAAAATCGCTTTAGACGAACAAGTCCGTGAAAACCGACCATCTTTGAGTTTCTCTCTCTGTCGGATTTAGTCGTGGCTCTACTTTGAACTCGGATTATGGAGATGTTTGCAGATAAACATCGTCATCGCAAACAACAAGAAACTGAGCTCTTCCCTCATCTTCTCGATGTCTCCAACGTCATCTCTGCCTGCACTCTCTTCTGTTGTTCTCCTTGTTTTTCCTGTCGCTCGACTTGTTTTACACAAATCTCTGTCCCATTATTTTCCTTTCTTTACAATTTCTTACCTTGTTCCTCGCAAAATTGAAAACATAGTTACCATGGTTACCAACTTATAAACATGCAACCACATTCATAAATACAGTGGTCCCTCTCCTATCGCTTGCATATATAAATACAGTGGTCCCTCTCCTATCGCGGTAGTTGCGTTCAAAGACCCACCGCAAAAAGGGAAAAATCGCAAAGTAGAGTCGAGACAGTTATTATATTATTGACCTATATATTTACCCTTAACGAACCTCCCCCACAAGGGGAGATGCTGAGAGACAGAAGACCAGGCTCAATTAGCCAATAGTACGCATTGCATTAGCCAACAGTATGCTGTGTACGATCTCGTCTCGGTAAACAAGGCTAGCAGCGATCGTTCGCGAATGTCTCAATTTCAAAACGAGATCCTACATTTTTATACCCAAAACTTTCATATGTGTATGTAATTATTTTATAAAGTCTTTTAGTTACGTTTTTAGCTATATTTCGCGATATGGCGAAAATTTCGCAAAGATCGGATTAAAAGAGAAATCTCTCCTTAGCTTACTAGCTATTTTTGATTCTTACGTCTGAACAGTTGGACCATTTGTCATCTGCCCTCTCACATCTCCTAGCAACACCGTACTGTACGTGGACTTCCTCACCCTCCTGCGTCAGTCCTCACTACTGGCTCCCATATCCATATTATTTTGTGACGATGGAACCCCTCCCCCCCGTCACGAAGTTGCGTATCCAGCATGTTTGTGACTTATTTTGGACTTATTTGATCTTGTCTTTAGAGCGTCGCCGTGACACTTTTTTTCATTGGCTGTTTGATCGTTCAGCAAAACCATTTGATGAAAGATATATTTTATCCCCGTGCTTCCCGTGCTTGACACATTCATGCGTCTCATTGCTAGGCGTGAGGGATGTAACCGTTTTATTAGACGTGGCTCGTCCCTTCCCAGGCATGAGAGTCACCGATCAAAGCCGTCCTTCATCTCGGGTTGGTTTATCTTTAAAATGGCATAAAGTCAATGTCCAGACCCTCCATTGTGCATTGAAGTATAGCTGGGCTGTAGCTTATTATTAAAGCAGCGGTAAACCCGCGAATTGAAATACTATTGAGAAAACCTGAAAACATGGATATTTTTTAAGTTGCTGCCCCCTAGTGACTGGAGGCTTGTCATCATTCATGCGTTACCACAGTAGTACACGTATGTCCCATATTACATTAGAAGCCCCTCACGCCCCTGCCTGGCATCCGTATTACATTGGAAGCCCCTCACGCCCCTGCCTGGCATCTCACTGTGTCCTCCCACGGGTCCCCGCCCCACCAATTTGAGAAGTACTGCATTGAAGAGATGTCTTATACGTGTGTGTGTGTGTGTTGACTGTGATACCCTTGTGATTCCTAATCTCGTCATACGCATGGCCAGCGTCTGACTGATAACTGATCTGGGAGACACGCCCAGTAAGACAAGCTAGCCTACATTCCAGTACGCCTGTACCAGTGACATTTTATTTACCGTCGGTTTATAATCCACGCTGACCCCAGCTGCGGAGTCTTTTTTTAAAAGCGGGACTTTTTTAGTTTCGGTTTCATTGCAAAGGGAACTGACCTAGCTACCCGTGTCTCCGCTGCTACTCCTAGCTCATCTTTGACGCGTCACGTTTCAAAATAGTCCCTTGCAGCGCACCGTGTCTCAATTGTTTTCTGCACAAACCGAGTTTGAGTTGCTTAGTCTGCATACATTCCCCTGCTCTGCTGCCACCTAGTGAGTGAACGCTTGTTTATCGTATTTGAGAAGCCACAGCCCATTTGCCCGCAGAGCTTTATTCTTTATTCGACGCTGCTCCTGTTTGTATTTCTTTCACCTGAGATGAACACATGTACTTTTCGCACCTTTCTTAGTGCTTCTCCTCCGGGACTTTTGCTCCATTCCTATCGTAAAGGACATTCCAACTACCCCTCGTGATGCATAGTGGAGAATTCCGTCACTATCTTTTCCCTCTTCCCTGCTTGGTGTTATCTTCTTTCTTTTTCCGTTTTCTTCTTCTGTTGCATCTGCATGTGAACTTCAGTGCTAAACTTCAGTGCCTTCAATCGTTAGCCTCTGCTACGCTCCTCGTTTTTTCCCCCCAGCTCCTCCATATGTGACGCTTTCTTCAAGCTTCCTCTTCCTCGTTTTGAATCTTCGGCTCTACATCATAGCCCTCGCCTTAGGGTTTAACAGGTTGACCAGTTCAGTCTGATGGTGGTGTAGATACAGTCGGACGGCCATGCTCCTTCAGTCAAGCTCACTTTTTTATTTGCAGGACAATCTTTGGATACTCTAAGTCTGGTACAATGAGATGCAAAATGCGTTGTTTGGTCGTAAAAAAAGCCACGTGAAAACAAGCGTCGTACGAGCAGGATCCATGTTGTAGCTAGCCCTGTAGTGACAAAGTGTAAAGTAGGAATTGTTGATCATGTCATTGATTCATCTGATGACCCACAGCACGACTCGTATTTAAACAGCAATGGCGCCCTCTACTGGGTCTTGAATGTCACAACAACATTTCAACTTTTCACTTCCTGTCAAACATGACTCTAAAACTAATCTCTCGAAGTGAACACTGCCCCCGTCTGTTCCTATAAAAACAATCCATGTACTGGTCGTTATTTATTTAAATTTTCTGGCTGTTTATTCACAGCAGTGTTTGTTCGCAACATTCTCCTTTTCTCCCATTTTCTTCCCTCGTTTTTTTCTCCTTCTCTTTTTTGTGTTGTTGCTCAGTCAGAAGGATTATTGAAGAGATGGTCATGTGACCTATATATATATTTATATATTTTTTGCTCCTCTTCACGCTCTTCTTCGTCAGTTTGAGTCACATAAATAGATTGACATTAAGTTTGCTCGTTGCTCTTACACTTCTGTTCCCTGGAGTTTTTAACCTGTATGTTTTTTTAAAAAGAAAAAAAAAAGAACGATAAACTTTCTACTGTATTAACTTGTCGGCTGCTTTTTACTCTGTACAGAAATTAAACTTTGTATTTGACAAAATAGACTTTTCCCCAGGAATTTTATTTAGGCTTACATTTTTATTTTATTTATTTTTTTAATTCTGAAATTAATCATTAAAATTCACCTTTTAACTCGTGGTAATGTTATGTGTTTTTGTACATATATTGTTATTATAAAATGACTGATTTTTTTTTTATTATTTCGTACTCAGGAGAAGATGAAACTTGATGTCACTTGTTGTAGTTGATCATTGTAGTAATTGAATAAGGGCTGGAGTCTCCATGAGGCCACATGTCTCCATTGGGTAGTTCCCTCATCTGTTCGGCGTTCCCGCGCTCCAGCATCTCCACTGTCAGGATGGACGGGCTGAAGATGTCCTCGGAGCGTTTGGACTTCGTGAGTCGGCAGAAGGACGACGTGTCTGAAATCTGGTCCTCGTAAAGGTCCTCTATTAGCTCTCTGCGCCGCCTCTGATTCTTTCTCAGCTCGTCCTTCAGGTCAGAGACCACTTCTCTCACGTCCTTCACCAGTGTGGAGCGAATCCCAAACAGGCAGAGGAGGAAGACCAGACCAGCGCAGATGCCAGACACAAAGTAGAGGGCCACCTTCTCTGGGAGACCTTAGCAGAAACGACAGGAAGACGGACTTGGTGAGTTTGCGTGAGATTACACTAACCTACATGTCATACATGATTTTGGGTGTCCTCAGACGGTTAGGATCAGCGGTCCCCAAACTTTTTTTGTACCAAGGCCAGTATCAGCCATTACTGTAGACCCATAATACCCCGCCATTTAATTTAATTTTCAAAATAAAACCTCTTTTAGACTTTATTCTGTTAGTATATAAAGTGTGTTTTGAAATGAAGTAAATTAGTAAAACTGTAGTACATTTTTTTCAATATGTCCCATTGCAGCCTTGTACCAAATGGACCAGCGCCGGTCCCCAGACCAGGGGTTGAGTAACCCCGGTTCAGATGATGAATCTGCTGGTTTTTTTGGTTAAAATTTGGTTAAAAATAATAATAATAAAAAATAAAAATAATAATAAAATAATAATTTGGCATATTTTGCATGCGGAAACTTTTTTCTAATTTTAGTATTATTTTATAATCTTTTTTTTATATATTATTATTTTTATTGACAGGTTTAAACTACAGTTATATTATTAAGTGACAAAGTTTGGTTATATATATTATTACTTTTATTGACGGGTTTAAACTACAGTTATATTATTAAGTGACAAAGTTTGGTTCTTAATGTGTCAATACATTAGTAATTATTCATTAATACATGGGCAAACTAAGGCCCGGGGTCCAGATGCGGCCCGTTCAGCTTTTTAATCCGGCCCGCCAAACTTTTCCAAATTATATAATCTATTTATATCATCATTATACTTCTACCTTTTCCCTGCAATACCCACGTTTTACCAATAGATGGCGTAGAAAATGATAAAAATGCATGCATGTCATTTATTTTCAAGAACTCTCCATCTATCTGCTCCTGACCCCCCCGTTCAATTTTAGGACAATTGTGGCCCGGTGAGTCAAAACCCTTTGGTCCAACCCTTTAAAGACCTCCACCATTGACTGGAATTGTCCTCAGCTTGATGCTCCTACACAGGCATCAGTGAACATACCCAGCACTTTTTCAAAGACCTCCAAAGAGTTGGTGAAAAACATGTTGTGAGGCCCGTGAGTGGAGCCAGTGAACCATCTACCTGTAGGTGAGAAGGCCAGGGCTCAAACACAAAACAAAACCCTAAAGAGCTGGATCTGCTCAGTCCAAAACCCTCACCGTCTGAAATCAGAAATGGATCTGAGGAGCCTCGATCCATATCCTCCAGAAGATACTGAGGAACTGAGGGTGAGAAGAGGGTAATATATTTATAATAAGATGTTGTTTTATCAAAGCTGCCGAGGAGGACATCCTGCGCAACTGACCACAAGTGAAGGAGACACGCAGATGTTTCCTGGTTCCAGGGAAACACGGTTCCCCAAAGGTCTGAATATCGGCCAGGACGGAACAGTTGGATCTGCCGTGACATCGACGAGAAACCTTCCTCAGGGCCAACGGGGACAGACACTCTGGTGGAGAGTTAAGTCAGTTATTTTCAGATTAGTGCTTAAGACGGTTTCTGTTAAATTAAATTATTGTGCACCGCGTTTCAGACCCATATCAGTTCTGGACTCGGGAGGTTCCTGGGGACAGAAGGGACTCCCGTGCAGCAGGTGTCCGAATGTGGCAGAGTAGATGAGCAGCACCGTGTCGTTTTTACAGGACAGCCTCAGACGCTCGTTTTCACATACGAGCCTGGTGTGATGCTGCTCTGGAATAAAAAAAAACACATCACATCTCTTTAAACACAAACACAGGTTTTTCTGCTGAGTCCATTAAAGGTTTAGGCGTATGAGCTCCGTCCTACCTGGTCTGCATTTGTAAGAGACCAGCAGGTACTTGCTTGTCATTGGACAGGGGTCCGGTCCGAAGACTGGATTGAAGACCGGGATGTGACAGGAACGTCGGTCCTGACACTCAGACAGAACTTTCTGCAGGGACAAAAGAATTTGATTTTGATTTTTTCTCACAAAAGTCTCGAACAGGCATGGGCAAACTAAGGCCCGGGGGGCCGGATATGGCCCGTTCAGCTTTTTATTCCGGTCCGCCAAACCTTTTCAAATTATATAATTTTTTAATATAATCATTATATAGTACTTCTGCCTTTTACCTGCAATACCCACGTTTCCCCAATAGGTGCCGTAGAAAACGATAAAAGCCTTAATGCATGACTTTTACATGTCATTTATCTTAGTTCACTCTAACACTCCATCTACTTCTGACCCGCCCCGCCCCCTGTTCAATTTTAGGACAATTGTGGCCCACGCCTGGTCTAGGAAGACCGTGATTTTGTCTTATTATTTTGTCTTCAGGACCTGGACAGCGATTGACGAGGAGCACGCCGTGTCTTCATCCACTGTTGCGTTTGAGTCTGCGGAGGGGCATAAATGCTGACTGGGAACGCGACGTCCATAAAACGCCGAGAGGACCGACACAGACGTCCTGGACGGACATCGGATGGACAGCGTGCTGCCTTCACATGTGTGCACCGTGTGGGTTTTCAGAATGGAGTGAAGGTAATCTGAAAGAGAGGAGAATGTTTTGTTATATTAGCATAAGAAAAGAAAACTATTTTCCGTATTTTCTGGACTATAAGTCGCATGTTTTTATCCCTCGGGCTGGGTTTGCGACCTGTACTCGGGTGCGACTTATATATTTAAATATATATTTTCACGTTTGTTATGTTCACACTGGCAGCCGCTAGAGGGCACTCCAGGCCTGTGTATCAGTATCTGCTACTCTTGTACCACTGAAAATTCACATGTTCGTTACTTTGAAAGTGACAGCCACTAGAGGGCACTGGTGCGACTTATATATGTTTTTTTTCTTCTTTATTATGCTTTTTTTGGCGGTTGCAGCTTATACTCCGGCGCGACTTAGAGTCCGGAAAGTACGGCTCTAAGGCTAACGCTAACTCTTTGGCAGTAAGTAACTAAGTATTGGTCTGTCAGCCATACTACATTTTTAAAATTCATTTTGAGTCTTTAAAAACAGACAAATCCTCTACCACCATGATGACCAACATTAGAATACAGCAGCGTAGGACTTATTATTATCCTGTTAGCTATTATCCCTATCGCTATCCCGCTATCCCTGTTAGCTTCCACCACACAGGCGAGATGTTTATAAAGATGTTCATGTTTAAATGTTGTATTAATGGTACGTTTCAGATGTATTCAACTGAAAATGTAAATGTGAAAACATTCCCTGCGTACCACTAGAGAGCGCTCCACAGTTTGAGAACCACTGCTCTGTTGCGTACGTTTAAAACAGGTTCATTCGTAGGTTCGTTTAAAACTCGAAATTTTCCGAATTTCATCTTTTTAAAAACGCCCAAAAAAACCAAAAAAACAATTGGTACTGTTCGAATTTAGTCTTTTTATAGTTCCAGCAGCTCCTGTTTGTCTCCGGCCTTGTCTTGGTCTCTGGGCGTCACAGTCGTGGACAGCGACCGCAAACACAAGACCAGCACAACAATGGAACAAACAGCGAAGTCAAACTTCTCCTCCCATGTGAAATTTCCTCTGCTGATCCTTCTTTGTGTGTGTGTGTGAGAATAAGTGGGTGTGTGTGTGTGTGTGTGTGTGTGTGTGTGTGTGTGTGTGTGTGTGTGTGTGTGTGTGTGTGTGTGTGTGTGTGTGTGTGTGTGTGTGTGTGTGTGTGTGTGTGTGTGTGTGTGTGTGTGTGTGTGTGTGTGTGTGTGTGTGTGTGTGTGTGTGTGTGTGTGTGTGTGTGTGTGTGTGTGTGTGTGTGTGTGTGTGTGTGTGTGTGTGTGTGTGTGTGTGTGTGTGTGTGTGTGTGTGTGTGTGTGTGTGTGTGTGTGTGTGTGTGTGTGTGTGTGTGTGTGTGTGTGTGTGTGTGTGTGTGTGTGTGTGTGTGTGTGTGTGTGTGTGTGTGTGTGTGTGTGTGTGTGTGTGTGTGTGTGTGTGTGTGTGTGTGTGTGTGTGTGTGTGTGTGTGTGTGTGTGTGTGTGTGTGTGTGTGTGTGTGTGTGTGTGTGTGTGTGTGTGTGTGTGTGTGTGTGTGTGTGTGTATACAGTCTGCTGGGTCAGTCTGCTGGGTGAAGAAAAGAGCAGTCGGTCACAATGAACTATTATTAGTCCGCACACACACAAATACAATATGCAATTACTCCAGGTCCAAATAACAGAGGATTTCAAATCAAAACACAGTCTGTTGTCATCAGAGCTCTCTTCGCCCTGACGTCGGGGCCCCTCCGGCTCCAGCGGCTGCAGCTGTTTTTCGTCGAAACAGGAAGTCCAGATAAACGAAAGGGATGTTGAACGTGTTCCTCGGCGAAGTGAGCAGTCAGCAGTTTCAGCAACTTTCCCTGTTGACGACGTGTCAGCAAATACGACGCACTTACAGGAGAAATCGGGAGCCGTGTGCGTGCACCTCGGCCCGCAGAAGAAGAAGAGGAAGAAGAAGAAGAGGAAGAAGAGACGGGAAGCGCAACAAGACGAGTGTGGAACTGTCATGGTGCAGAAGGTCCCGCGGGGAAGACCAGAGCCTCTGGTTTTGTTTTAGGTGTCACTGTGTATCTGTGTGTGTGTTGGGGGGAGAGAGAGAGAGAGAGAGAGAGAGAGAGAGAGATCAGGAGGTCAATGCAGCCTTTGTGTTGTTAACAAACAGCCTCCTTCATTCACGAACACACGCAATCTCAGCTGGAAAACTGAGCGGTCTGTGCTGACGCAGTTTTTGAACGCAGACTCAGAGCTCATTCAATCCATACCTTTATTCACGTTCGAAAAACAAACCTTGAACTGTTGACGAAAATGTGGTCGACAAAAAAAGGAAATCTTAAAAAAAAACAAAAAAAAAACGTAGGGGACTTCAGGGCCCGGTGTGACCTTTGACCTCGTTTCCTTTTACTCAATTTGAACTAGAACCAGATGCACAAAAGCGTTTCATTTGTTTATTTAGTTGTGTGTGTTCAATGGTTAAACGAAGACTCGTTGTCATGGACTTGGTCTCAACAATGAGATTCCTGTCGGCGGAGATAAGATTCTTATTTTCCAGCTGAAGCAGCATGTGCTCGGTAAAGATACTGTCTTTGTGTGCGTGCGTGTGTGTATCTCAGGGTTTTCCCTTGGTTTGTTAAAGAGGAAGTGAGAGACAAGTCACACAATTTCAGAGCAGCCAGCGATTTCAAGAAATCCGTATCAAACCTGACCGGTCGTCCTTTTATTTTCACGACCCCCGTGACCCCCCCCCCCCCGTGACCCCCCCCCTTGACCCGCGCGAACCCCCATGAATTGAAATACTATTGAGAACCTGATAACGTGTATATTTGTATCTGTACAAACCACTGTATGAGTTGCTGCCCCCTAGTGACTGGAGGCTTGTTATCATTCAAGCATTGCAGCAGTGGTATAATCCACTGGAAGCCCCTCACACCTCCCCCTCCTTAAGGGGGTCCCCCCCCCCACTATTTGAGAAGTCCATATGCATTTATCAGACCTTGTCTCATTCGAGGTGTTGATGTTATTCCAGAAAGCGCGCTAATGTTCACTAAACTACTGTAAAACTACTCATGTCATTTGGTCAAAGGGTTAAAAAAAAAAACAACAATTCTGCAGCATCTGTTAGGTGCCAAATTTCACTCTTCCCTATTTTTCTTAGAAAATACACACACACAAAATAAAAGCCCTAAAAAAAAAAAAAGGCCTCACAGTCTCAGAGCCACAGGTCAAACTGGTTATCTATCAGGGGAAGAAACCTGGCAACCTGGAGATACAATCTCAGACCAGCAGGAGTTCAACACAATTTATTTTGTGAGGCGTGTGAGCTACAAATTCCCGAGAGAGGATCGGGTTTTGCTGACACAACCTCAAATGGAAACCAGGACAGGCTAAGCTGCTGGCCTTTGCACTTTGTTCGCGTGTTTTCCCATGTGGGATACGATTGGAGTGTGTACGTTTAGGAAGGCTTTTTTTTCACAGTTTCTTCCAATGAAGATAACAATAATTAATCCGCAAACATCTGGTCTTGAGTGGAATATCTTCACAGTTGTATAGAGGCCTGTTTTGGGAAACCATCACTCCAGTGTTCTAGTGGTACGCTGTGTTTGCTAACGTTGCGTTCAAAGGCTAGTGGATGACTGGAAGAACCCCTTGAATGCCCTTGTGCAATTATGTTAGCACAGCTGAAAACCGTCTGGCTGCTTAGAGGAGCTATAAAACTGACCTTCCTTTTGAGCTTTGAGCTAGCTGAGTACCCTCCCACACAGGTTTTTTTTCTTTTCTTTTTTTTTTTTGCCAGTCTCTTGTTAAACATTTACAGGATTGGACGATCATTTAACGTTTCTTTTGGTAAATCCATCCACGCCCTCCCTGCAATGGCACTACGTCCCCCCAGGGGGCGCACCTCCCACTTTGTGAAACTCTGGTATATGTATTTGTGCATACTTAAATCTAGATGGATGGATGGATGGATGGATAGTTGGAAAGATAGTTGATAGATGGATGGATGGATGGGTGGATGGATAGATAGATAGAAGGTGGAAAGGAAGATGGATGGATGGATGGATGGGTGGATGGATAGATAGATAGAAGGTGGAAAGGAAGATGGATGGATGGATGGATGGGTGGATGGATAGATAGATAGAAGGTGGAAAGGAAGATGGATGGATGGATGGATGGGTGGATGGATAGATAGATAGAAGGTGGAAAGGAAGATGGATGGATGGATGGATGGATAGATGGATGATAGATGGATGGATAGATGGATGGATGGATAGATGGATAGATAGATAGATGGATGATAGATAGATGGATGGATGGATGGGTGGATGGATAGATAGATAGAAGGTGGAAAGGAAGATGGATGGATGGATGGATGGGTGGATGGATGGATAGATGGATAGATAGATGGATGGATGGGTGGATGGATGGATAGATAGATGGATAGATAGATGGATGGATGATAGATAGATGGATGGATGGATGGGTGGATGGATAGATAGATAGAAGGTGGAAAGGAAGATGGATGGATGGATGGATGGTGGATTGGATGATGGATGGATGGATGGATGGGTGGATGGATGGATGGATTTAAGAAAGGAATTTAGGGAAATCTGTTGAAGTCGTTTGTAAAACGCAGTGAGGTTTTCCTGTATTTGTTAGTCTCTAGGTTTAGTTTCCTCGTCGTCTTGGCAACCAAACTCAGGATTTTATCAAGATGTCCCATGTTGTAAACATGGTGGATGTATGAATAACCGAATGTTTATCAAAAAGCCTGGGTGATAGGCACTCCCTCCTCCTCGCCCTCTTCCTCCTCCTCCTCCTCCTCCTCCTCTTCATCCCTCCTCTCAGCAGAGGTGTGGAAGTTGATAATTCAGGAATGCACTTTAATAAAGTCCGTGAGTCAGCTGTGACACTCCCACCTGGTACACACTTCAGGAAAGTTCTGTTGAACTCCCTCTGAGAGTGTCAATAAGGGAACGTATTGAGTCATTGAGTTCCTCTTTACAGAAGGAGGAGAAAATGTTCAGACCTCAAACTCCGTCAGGTTTGTTTTCGTATGGTTGTTTTTCTTACTCTTTCCAAAAGAGCCTCTCCAAATGTTTCCATTCAGAGCTCTGACTAATACTCCAGGGTTTGTTTGGAAATTCACGGTGATACGCCGATATTAACCAAGTTGTTTTTCCGACATCTCCGTGGCCTTGTGTTTTTGAGGGGAGTTCAAATTTCGGACTCTTTCGTTTCCTGTCAAATCCGGTTGTTTTGATCAATCGATCCATTCTCCAAAAAAAAGTCCATACAAATACCATCAACATAGTGTCATTTCTGGCTCTTAGACTATATCCACCCTTTCACTCTTCTTGCTATTTATCAAAACAGCAACTACAAGTAAGGCATTCCTATGAACCAAATGGTGGGGCGGGCCCCCCCCGGAGGGGCGTGAGAGGCTTCCGATGGAATTTGGCACTCTAGACAGACGTGCTGTTGCTGTTGCTAACGCTTAAACAATAAACAAGCCTCCGGTCACTAGGTGGCAGCAGCTTATACGGTGGCACAGATAAGAAAATACATATCAGGGTTTTTAGTACTGTTTCAATTCGGGGGGCGGTGAACATTTTTCTGTCAGTAGGGGGAGCATGACGGAAACCAAGTATTTTTTTAACTTCACAATAATACAAACATTTTTGCATTAGCTTTTAACCCAGTTGTTTGACAGTAACCAAATGAACCTGCTAGGTGTGTGCGTGTGTGTGCGTGAGTGAGTGTGTGTGTGTCTTGTCAGCTTCAAGCATCAGAAAATGCGATGGGACTTTTTTTCTATTTTTAACTCTTTCCTCATAGATGTTGTAGGTAGTATATAAGAGCGTGAAGCTCCACCCTCTGCTCCAGTTCCTCCCTCGGCTCTGACTTTTCTGTGTCGTCCACTCAGGCTCAGAGCAGCAGCAACAGCAGCAAAAGGAGAAGGAGGAGGAGGAACGATTCATCTTGATCGAAGACCTTTAAAAAAGAAGAGCAGGTTTATCTGCTGCCGCTCCGTGACGCTTTGGGAAGAGAAGATCAGCCGGGAAAAAGAGAGACCAAAGTTTTCTTACTTTGTTTTAGTTACATTTATTCGTAACTTTTCAAGGCATGGCACTGAGGCAGGATTCTGACAAGGAGCCAAAGATTGAATTGTTCATCAAGGTCAGTTTTTTTTTTTTGTTTTTTTTTTCTCAGACTTTATCAAAAGATCATTTCAAATGAAAAATTGCATGAGGTGAAATAATATATTGATTATTATTTTTCACCTATAAGTAAGTAAGTAGAAAATCCACTGGTTAACATAAGAATTTATTTAATAGAAATGAATACAAAATATTGATCTAGGGTATAAAAAAAGTTAATAAAAATCTAGTGTAACGTGTACTATATAAAGCAAATACACAAAAGAAAATTAAGGAAGTATAAAATTGAGAAATTTGAGATATATAAAAAAAATTAATATAATATTTTTTAAAGTATAAATATATATATATATACATTAAATGATGATTGCAAGATAAGTTTAAAATTGTTTTAAAAATAATATAACATTAATATTTTCCTAAAGCACATTTCAAGTGATTATTATTTATGATAGCAAGTAATAAGTAATTTAAAATTTCTTATTTTTTTAATGCATAATTTCTTGCAGCACAACAGACAAAAGCAGTGTTTATAGATATAAAGAAAAAAGAGCAAATTTTTTTTTTCTCCCCCCTTCCTCTCATCTGTGATGTCAGAGGTCAGAGTGTGCGTATGTTTGCCCCCCTTCCTCTCATCTGTAATGTCAGAGGTCAGAGGTCAGAGTGTGCGTATGTTTGCGGTTTAAATGTCTGCTCACGCTAATATGCTTTCCTTTTCCTATTGCTGCTTGTTTATCAGCAACACTCCACCTTATCAACACACACGCTGGTGCACACATGCAGGGGAGTGGACGGAGTGGGGGGGAAGGCCACGGGTTCCAGACTGTCTCAGCCACACCCACTTTGACTCTAAGAGTGTGTGACTCCAACCTTTAGCTGCTTTGAAATGAACAATTATTGATAAGTGAACCTTCTTAAATAGTGATTTTGTTTTGGCTACGGCTGAAAAAATTCTAGACTGGAGTGCACATGCACAAAAAAGGAAGTTAAAGTATGAATAAAAAATCATAACAGAACAAAATCAAACAAACCATAAGGTCATAAAAAGCTTTTTACGATTTTTAAAACAGATGCTCCTTTTTTTTTTTTTTTCTCTCCCTCCACGCTGACTTAAATCGTGATTGTGTAGCAGCAGGAAGTGTGTGTGTGTGTGTGCTCATTGACATTGTTTTCTGACCATTGCTTCCTGTAGTAGAGGAAATGGCTTTTAAATGTCCTCAACACACCCTTTGCTTTTCCCCAGTACAAAAACAAACAAACAAAAAATGAATAGAATGAAGATTAAAGAATTGAAAAATAACTGAATCTTCTTTTTTCCAGGCTGGCCATGATGGTGAAAACGTAGGAAACTGTCCATTCTGTCAGAGACTTTTCATGGTTCTGTGGCTGAAGGGAGTCAAGTTCACTGTGACCACTGTGGACATGAGGAAGTGAGTAG